GGAGAAGCAGTACCGGTATGTTGATCACTCCCCTGTATCGAATCGCCGTGGAGCATTGAATCAAGTCTGGATACCGTGGGACTTATATTGCTAATTAGTGTGACGTCGGACTTACCTGTATGCGTCGTGGAGGGGGGATTCATGGGGTTGGCGGAGTGACATTTGTCGGGAGCGCCTATGTCGTTGGTTGGAGTGGTGGTAAATGCTTTTTGAAGAAGGCTAGAGAGCAGTGCATATTGCCGCAAGATCTAAACATGGCTGTGAGAAGTCTGACATGGAAGATTGGTAGATTACAAAGAAATTAAAAATGCGCAAAATGCTTGCATCCACTCACAGGAAGAATATCAGCCAACTGCCGTGGATGAGAAAACGGTAGGTCACGAATGGTCCGTCCAACGATATGCTCGAAGGGGTGGAAAGTGTAGGTATGTATGTGCTTTTCAGGATGACCGTTGGCGTCAAAGCCGTAAACAACCTTTTTATGGATTCTTTCGTTGGATACTGGGTAACCACTTTCACTGCTACTTAATTCTGGCGAAAAGTTATTCGGCAGGGGCACCACAAGCCCATCGTATGTAGCAGGTTTGGGCTCGGGTGGTATGTTCATTCCGAGCAGCCTGTATATCTCCGCCGCTGCAATTATAGGAATGTCAATCGGGGGCTCCAACCGTGCAACGAAGCGTCGGTTCGGTGTTGTAGTGCCTAAGGCTGTAGAATTAAGAGAAACGTCATTCGGGTTACTAACGAGAGTGGCTGGAGGATCGATCCAGTTAATTAACAGAATGTCAGTGTCGTTTTCGTTCACTGCGGAAGAAGATTCCCCTGAATCCATAGTCGTAAATAACTGGGACGCGACCCATTCTTTTGACACTCTCAATGATGGATAACCTTCCTCACACTCAATCATTGTGCTCCAGGTTTTGCGCTTCTCCCGATCAGATGATGAAACTTTGTCGTCTGTAGAGAATTGATCTATACTCATTGCGTCCGCGATATTCCTCTGTTGTGAGTCTAGCGTCCTTCTTTGTTCAACCCAATACCGAATACTCAAGCCAATTCTTCTGTCCTGATGGAGGGCGGGCTGTCCCACGTGTCCTGTGCAAACGTGCTCCCAATGGCCCTTCCCTGGGTATCGTTGTATTTCGCCTTGCCATATTCGGTTTAAACTTTCGTACAATCCTTCCACTGCTTCAAAGCAATTGACATCCCGACTTAGTTGATCCAACTTGGCTAATCTATGCAAATTTGCATGGAAAGCGTCGATCTTTTTCCAAGGCTTTTCTTCAGGATTTCCTGCAGTTTGGATCAAGTCCCGTTTTAGAACCGCAGTGGCCCCCACCCTTCTTTCTCCCTCCACCCCACTGGGGGTAGTATACTTCAGGCTGACATCCTTAACATTCTCCGTCCCATCTTCAAACTGGATCTCCAAGTCCACAAAATTCCCAGCAATATTTAGATCGTTGTCTTGCCACATGCATTCGAACCCTTCGAACTTCCCCAGCCTCTCCACACCTTCGCGACATACTCCACGTCCAGAAACACGCGTTCTGAGAACTCGAATCACTTCTTCCATCCGTCGAGTTTTCTCTACATCGGTGTCCCTTGGACCTCCCATGCCTAAATTCGACATCCCCGTTGAATGGATGCCACTCCCGTTGATTCCAGGTCCAGCCAACGGATCATTCCCTGCAGGAGATGGTGAGATGCCACCTAAGCCAAGAGCTAACAATGCTGATGGTGAGCTGAATATAGTAGGATCATCCAATGATACTGGAGCGGCCATTGGGGTCAGATATTGGTGAGAGGAAACACTTGGCTGATGGCCATGACCGGAAACGGAAGGTGTTTTAATGGACGGGGACTTGTGAGAAAGAGGGCGACCCATAGGCACCGCCGATGGGTAAGGCGATGATGTTGGGTGAGGCGTCTGCCCAGGGTTCTGCTTGGATGAAGGAGTAGCCATTGGTGAAATGTCCGTTCAATATGTTGGTTGCAAGGGAGATGCTCCCACCCAACGAATGTTTGAGTGGGTATGGCTGCACCACACTTTATGGAAGGTGTCCGTATATTGTCAATAGGGAGTCACAGGCAGCTGTAGGACAGACTACAGATACAAAGCCCAAGCTCGATTCACTCTCAAAGAGTATAGGTCCTAAGCAGCTGCAGAGAGGAAGCATCAACGCAGTGAAATTTTGGGGTATTTATAAAGCTCAGCCAGTGCCGAAACCATTCTACGAAACCATTTTTAGGTCTTCAGCAGAAATAGGGATGCGCAAAGAGCTATTGATGTCTTGTGCACCCTTAACCATTTGTTGATCTTTGATGATGTTGAAAGATAATCGGTTTGTTACGAGGCGAGTTCTTACTCCAAGGAAAGCTGGAAGCTTTTGCCAGAATGAACGCATCAATAGTCACGTGCTCTCCGCCCTGGCAAATGTTTCCCCAAGCTTTGAACCTCGAAATATAAACACCATTCATCAAATCGAGTCTATATACCTACCTAACTCCAGATACAGCGTCAACACGACGTGTAAATTATATCAATTATGTCCACTATTATGTGTGGCGCTCACCGTGCGTTGATAAATCCAATACGTCTTCACTTTCGGTCTTTGACGACCCTCCAGGGAAATCCACATATTGTATGTCGATATTAACCCAAATTCCCAAGCATCCGTTGGAAGACATGATATACTGAGAATACGGACTCTAATTTGTCTCTGAAGTTTGTTTTTCCAACTGAAAGATCCCTGAATGGGTACATTCTGTCTCTTTTACCAACAGATCCTCCCAACCCCGAGCTTGCAATCGGTGTAACTTCCAAACTGCCACCCACCACCGATTCCTTTAAAGAGAACCCGGCATTCCTAAAGACTCTCCAATCGGTTATTTCAGAACATGCACATGAGGATCCTGACGTAATATCACAGGGGCAAGTCATGGCTTTCACTTCTGGAGCAAATATCGACTCCGGAGGCATGGTTTTCTCCTCCGAAACAAGACATAGCTTCCGGCGAGGTCCTGGTGCTGCTGGTTTAAGAGAAAATTCTACCAGCGGCCCAAATGTTAAAGATAGTCCAAGTCCTGGTGGCAGGGGTGGTTGGATACACATTTCAGATACCAGAAATCCTCCAGAGTATGGCAGGATCGCTTGGTAGGACATGCAGCGCAATACCTATCTCGTCTTGTCGCATTAATTATTTTATAGGCCAGAGGATATATTTGGCAGTCTGGAAATTGATGCGAATGGAAATATTGAAGGAAATTACCAGCCCAGCGGTATGTGAAGGAATCTTGTCTGGAGATTACTTTGTTTCAGCAAAGCGGTTTTCACTAAGTCGCAGTTTTAGGAACCTACCGAATTATCACGCGGAATGGAATGTAAGTAATACTACTTCGTGAAATAAAATATTGATGACTGAAATTGCGTGCAGCCTCGGTCTAAGTACATACCTCCGCGAGAAGCTCATTCAACGTCTTCGTTCAGCGGAAAGCAATTCTTAAGGCCACTGGCTACTACATATGAGGCAATTCTACTCCTGTTTATGTATAACTGCTTCGCTCGAAATTTATATGCTCTGCATGACACATTGCCAGTCTCCCTTTTGACGAGCCTCTCCATGCTGGCAGTTTGAAGCTTTTACCTTATCCTTTCTGGGTAATATTCCTGAGATTGCATATGGACCCATGCCCAGGCCGGAGAAAAGGCAACAGTTTGGATTCCTGCTATGATGGTTACATATATACTAAGAGAAGAGGAAGGCAAATGCAATGGAAGAGGATGTTAAGATGAGGAGGTAACGAAAGAATATTGCCCCCAAAATTCGAAGAGGGCAAGTGGTATGGGATCTCTATACCGAGAATGAAACTAAATCCGATACCATTTCTAATCCCTAATAAACTATGTAAAGAGAAACAGATGAAAGCATTAAAAATGAAGAACAAACGCATTCAAAGACGGCGAGAATAAACCATGCAGCCCCGTTCTCTTGCTCGTGGGAATTAGGCATCGTCCAGCTGAACAGACTTTCATATTAGAGTAGCCATGACTTGGCAGATCAACCTCAATTTTCTGCTTCCAACTCTGTTTTGAGAGTCCTATGGTCCCCTACAATTCGGGCCTTTCACGGGACGAGCTTCATACGCCGTAAACTTTTCGCATTCTGGATAGCAGTGGACGTGGAGGAAGGGTAGGATCTGATGTCCGACAACCGCACAACCACACATCAACAAGGATTATGCAGAGTGTATATAGGATGACTACGGCTGGGCCGGAGTATTCAGATTGATGGGTGGAAAATAAAAATGAAGCGAGGTAGCTAGTTCTTTGAAGGATTAGAGGAAATTGTTTGCAAATTTGAAGGATGGATGATGATTTCTTGATGGAGAGTTGCAAGATAGATGGAGAGCCACCTAGTTTATATAATGCCTAGAGAGGCATTTGGTTATTAGACATTGATGAACACAAGTGAAATGTGAATCACAGATTTAGTTCGAACACTTAAAATTCAATGAAGGAAAAGTTTAGGGGATTATCGATGTGAATAGAGTTCGGGGCATAATTACAGAACGAAGACAGACAAACAAAAATGGAAACTCGAAAAAGGGAGTAGGTGAATACATCAACAAGCCTTCAAAAGTGAGATGTGGGGATGAATCACCGTCAGTTTTGAAATTTGGATTTTATCTCTTGTTTTAGTGACTGCAAGCTTCTACATTCTGTGCTGTCTGCCCACCTGCATGGAGTATGAATCTGAAGAATCAATGACTATTTTCACGATGCCACAGCCATTCTCCATAGGAGATTAAGGAAAACAAATGATACAGAGGCGCAATTATATCGTGACACCATAGGTTTGAAGAAAACAAGAAGATGTATCAGGTTTTCACCGTAGCATGTAAAACAGTATGTGGCAGTAGCCATTCGAGTGGTATCTGAGTGAGTAAACATGGTGAGAGAATAACACAGATGGAAATTCAGGCAAAAACTTCCAGCGTCGCTATTTCTTAAAGAAACTTGTAATTCGTTGTGTCCCATGCGTTGTTCCTTTCGACTCCCCCTTTTTAAGACTGGACCCATTGCTTGTAGCGCTCCTCATTTTCTTATTTCCACCGCCTGGTTTTGTAGGTGAACGGTAAGAATCTCCTCCAGGGGGGGGTAGCGACGATTCTGATCTCTTTATTTTTGGTGATTTCGTCGTAATATCAGCACCAGCGGGTTCTGGTGATGTTTGTTTGCGTTTAACCGCTACCGATTGTGGAACTGAATCAATACCGAACTCTGATTTCTGGACGGTAGAATTTGCTTCCTCTTTGCTTCCTGCTTCTTCCTTATTGACCTTGGCACCTTCGTCAAATTTTGAAGCGCTCCTTGTCTGCTGACCTTCAACCCTAGCTGTACTGCAATCTTGGGACAGTGTTTCAACTTTGAATTTGCTGGCTTTGCTGGCGGCTGCAAAAAAGTTTGCAATGTTGTTTTTATTCTCCTTACTATTTACCGGAATAATGAAGTCTGGGGAGTTGTTTCCAACTTTCCCTACCTCTTTACTGACGGGATAGCACTCAAGCTTCCCCTCGTACGGTTTGAGGATCGACTGGAGTTCCTTTGACCAGGTTACGCGGTGGGGGTCAAGCCACGTAGCCATTTCTGGACTGCCAGAGTCAAGGATAACGGGCATCCGATCGTGAAGAAACTTCAGGTAGGCATTCGAGCTGGTGGTGATTATTGTGTATGTGTAAAGTTTCTCGTCAGAGCCTGTCATTGATTGTCAGAAAACAATGTCACCACGAATGACGCTTCGCAATGGCGAGCATCGCAAATATCAAATATCAAACTACCACACACAGGCACAAAGACACGCACCTTCGTACTGAACGCAATCCCAGAGGCCAGCAAAACACATCAACTCTCCATCTTTTCGCCGAATGTAATAAGGGACTCTCTCCTTCCCACCAGGTCCCTTTTTCAACCATTCGTAAAACCCCTGGCAAATTACAACACATCGCTTCTTTCTCTTCATAGATGTCCACATACCCCTATCATCGATTAGCGAGTCATCACGACAATTGATCGTTTTAAGCATCGAGCCGTAGTCTGGTGATCTCTTGGTCCACCACGGGATCAATCCCCATTTCATGCCCTGAAGCCTGTAATGCGTCCTGCGTTTTGCTGCCTCCGCAGGCTCAACATTTTCATCGTTGCCCTCCACTACCTCATTGTTACCAGTATCATCTTGTGAGTCCACTCCGCCTTGGTCAGACGTTTCAGCACGATAGACCGCGCCGTAACTCCCAGGAGCAAAATTGTACGTTTCCCTCACGTCATCGTCATCTGCTGTCTCATCAACTGGTTGCCCATGCTGCTGCAACTGGTTTCGGATGAACGCAAGGCGCTATGACAGCACTTCCTATTAGACATGAAGGGGGAAAGATAACAGGGATAACACTACGAAGGACAGCGGGGTTACATACAATGCCCATAGCGTACCGGCCACACATCTTGAATATGGCTGGCTGTGTTGTCTTGTATCATGGAGCAGAGCATCGGCAGACGTTGGATGACATGCGCCAAGACGTCATTGCCTTGAGCGGAGCGGGGTGGAACCCCGAAGGAAGCTTGGACCAGTTCGCCAAGAACTCGCAAACCGCGCAAACAACGAGAAACCCAAATCCAACTTCATCCGGCTATAAAAATCGCTTCCATCGATTTGCTGCGGTATTTCTATCTCTATTAATTCAAGCCATTGATACTCCGGCCATGGAATGCCCTTTGAACATATTATATTGATCGATATTGCGAAACGGAATTTGCATCATGTTCGGGCAAGTGGCCCGGCGCATAGGAACCTCCGCACCTCTCCGCCCACCACATACCCCTGCATCTGCAGTACGATCACTCTGCAGCACACCTCGATACACTTATAGACCTCGATTGCCCTTATCCTCGAATCTGCAATTAGCACTCAACGCGTCTACACAAGGCCGTTTAAATAGCACATCCGCGTTCCAAAAATTCAGACGGAATTACAAAGAAGCGTGGGGTAAAATATGGCAAACGAACCCAATTGGCTTCCCGCTCACTGTATTGTTCGTGGCGGTGAATGCAGGGCTACTTGTATACGTCATATATGACAAAGTTACTCGGATAGACCCATACCTTAGCAGATTTCCACCGCAGGTGGCTGCGCCCTTGCGCGAAGCCCTTCGTCGTTCAGAGATCCGGCCTGATCCTATCTTGGCACTGCAAATGTTCAGGGAGGCACTTATTGCTGCAGAACATGTTCAGATGCACCCGTTTTCGGATGAGGTCCTTGGCATCAGAATCGCTGCAGCCGAGATGCTGGAGAAAAATGGGCTGGTGAAGGCATCCATTGACATGCTGGAGAAAGCGCTAGCAGACTGCAAGGAATGGGTAGTTAATGGAAGGAGGAGGCAAATGATACTTGATAAGCAAAGGGCGAAAAAGACTGCTACTGAACCCGCTGATCCTGAAGCTGCGGAGGCAGAGAAAGAAGCGCGCGAGAAGGAAAGAATGGAGGAGAAGCTTCGCGACCAGGTTATGAAAAAAATCATTGGCATCAAAATTAAACTAGCAGACCTATACTCGAGTAACTCCGTGCTGGATATGGACAAAGCAGAGAACTCCCTTATTGGCGCAGTCAACGAGAGCGCTGGCGAGGTCAGACGGCGTAGAGAATTGAATCTGCCAGTATCGCGTGACGATGGCGGTGATTACGTTAATCTCACGGAGATAGCTGCGTCATGCAATGACCTGGCTGATTTATATGTGAAAAGAGGGAAAAACAATCTTGCAGCAACCTTGTACATGCAAAGTCTAGGGTTGATTAAGGAGGAGGAGGGCCAATCGACAACATGCGCGCAGGTTGTTCTCCTTAACAACATATCTTCCCAGATGGCGGAGGAAGCTCAGAAGGTAACCAGCAAAACACCGTCGATACCTAAGAGAGCCGGCCTTCCCATATCTCGGCCGGAGTTGCTCGATGCTGCATCGCAGTGGGCAAAGAAGGCGCTGGATGTTGCAGCACATATCAAACCGCCAGTCCGTACTGAAGAATGCGATCAATCATGTCAAGTAGCACTGTATAACCTAGGTGAAATAGCAGAGATGCATGAAAATTTCGTCGAGGCACGAAAGTATTATGAGGAGGCAAGGAATCTAGCCACCAAAATTCAGTTTGAGGAAGGAATTGAGGCAGCAAGTGATGCTATAAAACGGCTTGGAAAATATAAATAGAACTTCTCTCCCCTTCAGAATGTTTTTGGGAGCATGTACAATATAAATCTGCATTTGAATGAACAGGCATAATTCCACGGCATATCGTTTCCGTGAATCATTATTTCGATCACATGGCTTCGCTGCAGAGTTGCTTTTCATCGCAACCGGAACCGAACCACCTGGTTTCAAGGCTTGTGGTAGAGTTCCTGCCGCCTTTTATGTTATAACGGAGTAGTAGATATCTCATCTATTTTTTAATCCCCATATGTATCATGTAGTAAAGAAATGCGGCTCCTGCTATCAACATCAGAAAAATAAAACTGCAATTAAGAGAGCTTCTGGGATGCGAAGCACAAAAAAGTTTTCGTTGAGAAATTTTTAATTTAATATTGAACAAAAATCGTAAATAAAATAACATACGAAAGCCCGGATTCGCTGGTGGTCACCCACCCAACTACTAACAGGCCGGCGAGTGGCTTGAGTACGGCTGAGCGGACGGGAAGCCCTATATTCCACTCCCTATGTTCGTATGTGATAGGTGATACCTTGTTAGAGATAATTATGATTTCCGTCTATCGGGGTTTCGACTGGGTGGCCAGACCACCAAACATAAAGGAAAAGCGGGAAATAAAAGGGGCTGGGCTGGTGAACAGAAAGGTGGATGGGAGGAGACATTCTTGGCAAGGGAAAAGGCTGGTTAGACAGCGAGTGTCTAGCATTGGTCTTGCTCTTTGGAATAATACATCAAGGATACGTTAAAGAATCGGAGACTGGAAGAGATATATGATGGGACAAGCCACGTATGGGGAGCCACAGGGAATAACTTGATGTAATAACTAAGCTACCAAATATTGAGAAAAACTCCATATGTTTATAAAAGACAATACAAGACCAAAGAAGACCGAGGAAAGTGGACAGATGCAGAGCCAGAATGAACTTGATGAAAAGTTAATTGTTTTTGGCAAGTTAATAGAGCATGGCTTGAGTGATTTCAAACAGTGGCTTGGAGTATCCTTTGATTTGGCACAGAAGGTGTTGTTTCTCGACAAGAATTAACTTCATCCCTCCTTTTTTTTTTTTAAATCAATAAAAAAAATTAAGTTAACTCTATCAAAACGAAACACAAAACTCCCGTTCCAGTCCGCAGAAGAAGAAAAAAAGGGGTTTTTGTCATTTGCTCATTGCTCATCCATCGCAACCTAGCCGGCCTGTGTTTCCGTAGCTCCGTCTTCCATTGGTTTCTGCTAGACAAAACACATGCAACACACGCGTGCACCACACATACACACCCATTACGTTCTCGACACAACGCCCCACGCGCGGATTTTGTTATCAGTGTATCCAGCAAACAAGGTCTGGCCATCAGCACTCCATGCCAAACTTATGCACTCAGGCTCACGGCTCTTCTTTCCCTTCTCAACATATTCAGGCTTGAGCTCATCGACCTTGCTCTTTTTCTCCAAATCAAAAATGGTGATGCTGCTGGAGGTAGCAGCGCAGAGCCAGTAGCGGTTAGGGGAGAATACGAGGGCGTGGATCTCGTCACCGGCCTGGAGAGAGTAAAGGTGCTTGGACTCGTTGAGATCCCAGAGCATGGTGGTGCCGTCCTTGCCACCGGACGCGCAGAGGGATCCGTCGGGGGAGATGGTTACGGTGTTGATGTAGCCAGTGTGGCCGATGTGGTCAGTTTGGATGCGGCAGGAGGAGAGTTCCCAGACCTGATGTTTGCGATATTAGCAAATATATACCGGGAATTTGTAACTGTTCGCATTTTGTTTCCAAGATATCAAGAATTGTGGAAAGTTGTCCATCAGGGAGATTAATGAAGGTTTGTCTCATTGCCTCTAAGGGCTCTGAAGTAGCAAATACGTAAAATGCAAGACATCATTTGGGAATATAAAACTCGATTTGAAAAAAAAAGGGGGGGGGGGGGGGGGGGCAATTTTGAGAAGTGTATGTAATATCGTACCTTGACGAGTTTGTCCCAGCCAGCGGAAACGATGACGGGATTTTGAGGGTTGGGGCTGAAGCGGACGCAGGATACCCATTCGGTGTGTCCCTTGTCGGTGATGGTGAATTTGCAGTCACCCAGGGTGTTCCACAGCTTGATGGTCCGGTCGCGGGAGCCGGAGACGATCTGGCGGTTATCGGCAGAGAAAGAGACGGACAAGACATCGTTGGTGTGGCCGACGAAAGTTCGGGTGGTGTTGCCCGTAGCCAATTCCCATAGACGAAGGGTCTTATCCCACGAGGAAGAAAGGGCATATGCGCCGTCGGAGGAGATCACCTATTGTATAATAATAATAAAAAAGCACAACAATCAGCCCATATAATTCCTCTTATACTCTCTCATAAATCCTATATTTCCTAAGCTTCTATCATATCATACACAATCGGAGACAATGTGAGAATGGCCATGGAGGCTTCGTTTGGGGTATCCGTATGCGGTGTCATCACGGGTCAAATTCCAGATGATCAGGGTCTTGTCGCGACTGGCGGACAGGAGCATATTTGGGCTAACATGAAATTTTGCCTGTTAGAATTTGCACCAGAACTCGAGTCTTAATTCGCCCCAATATATCAAAGGCTATATATGGCTTACTTCTCCAGCGAAGTGGCCAGGGAGGTAACCCAGCCATTGTGGCCCTCGAGGGTCCCGCGGTGGACAAGCTGCTCAGCCATGGTGTGCAGGCTCTCGGTCGAAGTCTGAGAATGCCAAAAAAAATCCTCGTTGGAGGGAGTGGAAAGGAGGAGGAGGATGGATGGCGAGAGCAAAGCAATGAACAGGCTGTCGTTGAGCTGTTGGTTCTTTCGTTCCTCTTGAGCAAAATGGCGGTTCTGGCGCCCAAACAAGCCTAAGCGCAATTTGGCTGCAGGCCCTTTTTTGTGTGTGCGCTGCAGCCCTAGCGGGGGCCTAAGCGAAGAGGACGGCGGTTGGGCTGCCAAGAGTAGTCACGTGCGTTGGATGTTTACACTGGGATTTTGGGCACAGGGAATATCATAAGAAGAAGAGGGCAACGTTTTTAACTCCCCCGGGTATATAGGCAATAGGGAGAAGATCTTGTACATATACGGAGCAGTATACATAATACATAGTTTTTTCAAAAATGGCCTAATCACGCATATATCAGATCCAATTACCCTCCTCACTGCTTGGATGTATGCAGGTCAGGCATCCGCCCCAATCCTCCCCCACTCTGTGTCTTATCGCCCTTCAAGCCCAATGCACTCCTCTCATGAACATGTTCTCTCAGTCGCACGAGGATCTCAGAGTCCTTCCATCGCTGCGGAACAGGCCTGTATGCAGGTTTGAATGCGCCCACAGTCTGCGCCCATTCGCCGCTCTTTGCAGCGCCGCTTTTCCACGTCGTGGTAGGTGTATCCTTGGTTGGGATACTCGACCTTCCGGCAGCAGCACTATTAGCTTTATCTGTCGCTGAGGGATCTTCCGCCTCCTGGGTTGCCCAATAATAAATATCCCAATCATTCTCATCTAGGAATTTGTCAAATTCCTCCAGCTGCTGGGCTGTCATGGTTGGAAGGTTTTTAGATGCGAAGGTTGATAAAAGAAGGTCCGACTCCAGGGTGCCTCGTTTACGACTTTGATCTACGATCTGTTAGCTTGCGTTGTACAGATTGTATGTTATATGTAGTGTTCTTGGGGGATAGAGTGTTCAATTAGATAATATGCATGAGTGAGACCCACACAACAACCTCGCGCGCATCGTCGAAACATCCTCCCCTTCGCGCTTCAATGGCTCAACCTTGAACGTAATACCTTCCATCTCTCCCACATCCAATTCGGGCTTCCTTCCCTCGCCCGTCTGCGCTGTCCTGCCCGTCATGTGTTCTGAATTCCCCGGCACCGCATCGCGCGGTTGATAGCTTGGATCCGTGGACGATAGCAGGTCAGGCGGCACCGACTTCTCCCCTACTTTAGGAAAGTCATTGGTTTTTGTTGATGTCGTATTCGTCAGATGCGGGTTCAGGGGTTTCGATTTCTGGGTGTCGCAGTGCAATGGAGCTGTTGAGTGACCGCGATCGTTCAGGCCGCTGGCTCGGAAAGCTGTCGAGTTGAGCGCTGCTGGGACAAATGGCGATGCAACCACCCTTGCACTAGAGGAGAGCAGGGTGCGAAAGAAAAGCTTTGGAGCTAAGGCTGCCATATCTTAAATTGGAAAATTGGAGATGGTTACTATACTCAAAATGACCTGTGTAGAGTCGAAGCAGGCTGGAGCGATCTTAAAAAGTGCAATTACCCGAGCCAAGGTTGACATCATCCCGAAATTCATGTTTGCTGTGTTTGCATCTCTCAGCATCAAATCTTGATCAATTATTGTAGCTACGTATATCTGATAGGACACATGTCAACAGTCAAGCAGATGCTTTTTTTGCTTGTTCATGCCGCTACATATGCCTTGCTTAATTTATAATGACATTGTTTACTATTAGCATCACGGATCCGGGTAGACATTCGATAAATGGTATCATAGGTTTCCTCTATGGGTATCGAAGCAGTTATATTATAGCCAAGCACAGAATAAGAGACTTATTTGGTTTTTCATAGAATAAGCATATAGGAAAAACAAGTTGCGAAAACGCTGCCATCAAAAAGCATATTTATATATATATATATATTCTCCATCATCCTTCATTGCAAACGTCATCGCACCTCCCCGGTTAAAGGACTGCAGATGGGGACAAAACAGTGCAAAGAACAAGATAAATCGTCATGGTCTAGATAAGATGCTTCGACCTATTCGCGGGTAAACAAACAATGTCAGTCATAAGTTTTCGAATAAAATGATAGCCTTAAAAGAGGTTATGAAATGGGTTATGGCAGAGAGAGTTTCTACCCATCCGAACAAGCGGAGAGTCCAAGTGAAATGAGAGAAAAAAGCTGACCTGAAATACGCCCTTAAATATACAACCTGCCATGCGCCAAGTCCAACCAGCATTCCCATAGTTCCAAAGGCAAACCATTTAACCCGCTCATTCGTGCTCTCATTGGTGTCTCTCAGCTTCTGCTCCCGGGACCTCATGTAGTCCATCTCCATCACTATCTCGCCAACCATCGCTTCAATACGGCGCAGATCAGCCTCAACGGGTTTCAGCTTCTCCTGTGCCTGGATGGCGGACCAGTCTCGCGCGTCGGCACCAATGTCAATGTCCAGTTCGATGGGGCGGAACAAATTGCCGGAGTCTTCCAGAAAGTTGAAAGGACTGTATGTTAGATTTTTGGAATCCGCAGCATTCATGGATTGGGGAATGGGACAAGGGAGGGGTTACATACGCCGACCACCAACGAGGATGTTCTCGAAGCACACGTCAAACGCGGTATCCGCACCGGAGGTAAAGGCTTGTCGTTTCTCGCCAACAACGTCCTTGGGTCTGCCATAATCATTTCCCATTGAGTCCTTGATCTGTATCCACCCCGCGTACCAGCGAAAGCTTTAGCCAGAATTCCGCCTAGACGATTGAAATGGACCCATGCTTCTCAGCCAGACAATTTTTTCTCTCACGGAATCCGAGAAAACAAAGGTTCCAGCTTCGAGCCAATTCCAATCACGATCACGGGAACGACAGTAGCAAAAAGGGAAAAGAAACTCAAGCCCCCTCCATTCCCCCAAAAATAAATAAATAAATAAAAACAGAAAAAGGGGGAAGGGGAAGAAACCAAAACACGGTGCGCACAAACGTACATGCATATTGACAACCTGCCCGTCGCCCTTCTGCCCGCCCACAATCGCCGTGACAACAACTAGCTGATCTTTATTGACGAAGTTGCGTATACACCGCTCACTTTTTCCATTTTGAGGGTTTGCGTGGAGATCGAATTTCAACGCCGCGGAGAGTTGGGATATGCATAGGAGCAGGAGAAGGAGGAACGGTCGCAGAGGCCCTAAAAGGGGCGATGGACAGGTACTGCCCATCTTTTCTTTTCTTCTTGTTTAGCCCGTCCCCGTTTCTGTTGAGATGCGCAGGGACAGGAACACCAAGCAGGCTGCAGAAGCTGAGATATAGAAGAGAAAGGAAATGTCAATGAAAGGTGTTATGGTGTCCGCAGTCAACTAGGTGCCGTTGATGAATGCCACGATTAGTTAAACAGTTTAGGGTTGTTAATTAACGGAGTCACTCGGAGAAACGTTTTCGCGGGCTTCATGATTGGTCCCTGGTTTATCTCAGCAGCAAGGGGTTCTTGGAGAGACAAAATGGTAAAATACAGCCTTGTCTATATAAAATATATTTGACTGTGTCGCTCCTTTTCACATTGCTACTACTATTTTCTCATCTAGAATTAGAAAGAGAAGAGCACATTCCGTGGCTTCAAAATCTCCCGTTTTCTTTGTTTTTACTTCGAGAATTTACTAGTTACATGCGCTCCGTACCGTCTGATGGTCTAGAAGGGAGATTGAGGATCAATTTACTCTGTACATTGTCGATGATTTACAGAATAAGAAGAAACATCGGAATAAGTCATACTAATGTACACCACTTAACTTGTACCGGGTTTGCAGTCTGCCTGTGGAGGAAACATATTTCCCCTGCGAACCACCACGTGGGTAATAAAGAAAGAAAAGATCACGGGGGTTAAAATAGGGACCGTATGTTATCATATATTTTTACTACCTAACCAACTAAGAGAATTATACGTAGCACTGACACACATTTGAGTAAAGAAAAAAGAAAAATGAAGAGCCGGGAGAACAAGCCGCAGTTACAAGGAGTGCGGTAAAAGTGCCAGAGTGAGAGAGGTCTAACCTGGATTGCAAACTGGGGATAATTTCTAAAGAGCCCAGGAAAATAAATAATATGGATGATAAAGGTAAGTGGGGAAAAGATAGAGTTGTCAGGCTGATGAGTAAGAGACCAATGAAGTTTCATAAAGAATTGAAAAAACAAGTACATGTTAGTCGCCAACAGGCTGACTGCAAGGGGAAAGACAGAGAGATATCAGAATGAAAATCGCCAACATACCCAAAAATGGTGGTTGTGGAAAACGATGGGATGGCTAAAAGAAAATAGAACGCAGACACAGTGTGAGGTAGAAGAGTAGGTGCAGTATTAAGGAAATAGGTAATTAAGAAATAAAATCATTGCCCCAGATCGCAAGTAACTGGCTGGATGAGCAAGAAACAACCTCCTAAAAAAAATTAAATAAAGGTGTGCGGGGAATAGGACAAGGGCTGGGTATTCAAATATACAACGAAGGGAAGCTCACCGACATTATAGGGTATTGAAATGAGTCCAATAAAAACTCTAAGAGAAAAGGAAAAAAAAGAAAAGAAAAAAAGAAGAAAAAAGGTAAAATTGATCAAAAAGGGGTACTTACACCGCCTGTCTCTTCCTCCGCGAAAAGATTTTGCCAATGGAGACGCCGGTACGCTTCTCCCTATCAGCGCTTACGGATGATCGCGAAGAATGTATGCCTAGGGACTCTGGAGGGCCGGTATTCTTTAGGAAGTCCGCTAAGTCAGCAGTCGAGGTTTGATTGGCACGAGTGTGATTTCTGGGTTCAACTAGTTGGGAACGTAGAAACCCATCCGTCGTGCCGTTTCGCTGGTGTTCAATACGAGCACTGTAAGCGGGATGTGGCGGAAAGTTATTATGCTGAGAGCTGGAGAGAAAGCCTTTGGGCCCTGAAGCTTCCGGAATCGGAGTGGTAGGACCGGCTGGGGAAGAAACAGTTGTGGCATTTGATCTATGAGATCGGAGAGAGGATCGAGATAGTTTAGTCGATGGGACTTTGTCAACAGACGTGGCGCGCATCAGGCGAGAACGCATCGACGTTGTGCTCTTCAATTTAGCCTTATTCACTGCATTCGCATTAACGGAGAGTAGAGGAGGGTGTTGGTCAAAATCAGGCGGTGGTGCAGCATTGCGTAGGAAGTCGGCCAAGCTCTCTTCTTCCTCTTTGTGTGCTTTAAGGCCGCGGGACAGTAGGTCATCGTCAAAACCGTCATCGCTATCGAAATCAATGGCATATGGATCTTTCACGCATCGCTGCTTTCTTACAGGCAGGCCACTTTCTCCTTGCTCAAATCCCCCGTTTGAAGCTGGCTGCCCATTATACGTCCGATTATTAATGCGGTTTGTTGATTCGAGTAAGCCCGTACGTGAGTTGAATGAAGAAGACACGGATTTCGGTAGGACAGATTCAGCATTCGCACTTGGTACGGAGCTTTGTTTTCCAGAATCACGATTTGCACGACTAATGCTCAGATATTGTAATTCATCGGAATCCATTGTTGTGCGGAAAGGAGCCACTGTTCTGGGGATACGGTGAGAAGCATACTCCGGAGGTCCTTCCCGTATGAAATCGATGAGATCCGATGTGCCATCATCTTTTGGTGTAAGAGCAGACCTAGCTTCCAGTCTCGGGGTTGGACGTTTCGGTAATTCCTTAGTAAGGACCTTTTGCGAGCGAACTGATGTTGCCGATGGGGCACCGCCGCCAATCGCATGCCGCGTCCGGTTGACTGGCCCGTTGCTAACATTAGTCAAGCTTGTCGCAGGACGTGAATTATTCTTTGGAACTGTGGTGGTGTGTTCTGGACCTGTGGACCTGATGAACTCGGCAAAGTCTCTCAGCGATTCTCTCTCTACTCTCGCATCCCGTGCTTGCGGTGGGCGGGGTTTATGCGATGGAGGTTGTGGATGGCTAGTATTCGCAACAGGAGACTGTGTATGTTTGGGTTGGACAGGAGAAATAGGGGAGGGCGTATGTATGCGCAATCCGTTTCTATTGGAGGAAGACACACTGGGTCTCCCACTATCAGACTGTGTCCCTTCTGGAGGACCGGTTGTTTTCAAAAAATCAGCCAATTCAGTTGTTTCAGTTCGTGTGGGAGCCCATCTGGGTGAATTGGGATCCTAAACAGAATATTAACATCAATTACTAACCGCGCATATATAAATGTGTAACCAGAGAGGAAAATGGGTAAACTTACCTCCATATCTCTCATATTTCGAGGCGTCAGAGTATATCGTATAGTCTCATCACTCTGAATCAATTCGTCCAAGTTAGATGGGTCTGGAACTGCTTCCACGACTTTGGATTGGGTTCCGTTTGTATCAGTAGAAGTGCGTATCGGAAGAGGAACCTTGGAATCGCTGTCACTAGCCTGCCATCCTACGAGTCCCTTCAATTTATTAGAAACCTGTGACGTTGCAGATCCCGAAGTAATCGGCCGCTTATCTCGATGGCTGCTAATACTCACAGAACGACGCGGTTTAGAACTCGAATCACGAGGGGTCGAGGGTGGCGGAGGACTGACACGCTGGACGGCAGCACGCTCGGATCCCACAGAAGCAGCGGAATTTGGTTGCGTATAGCGGGGCGTCGTGTTTTGTCGCGAATTACTCCGAGGGAGAGACTGTCTACTTCGGATACTAGCTGACCGACGAGCAGTATAAGAATAGGGAGATTCTTGATCGGAGGCACCATTAGAGTTCTTCACAAATTCTTGATGTGGAGTGAGTCGAGATGGATGGGCGGCGGCTCTGCTTGTTTGGGCAACAAAGGAGGTCTCCACAATTGAGCCTTGAGAAGAGGCACTTGATTCTTGACAGGGTTCCACCTCGTGTTCATACGGAGGGATAGACTTGGGATCCACGTTTCTTTGAGAATGTTGACTATTGGCATTTCCTCTTGAGGACTTGGATTTTCCATGTTGCTTGGTGGTTTCCAGTCCAATCGTCTGAGATGGTGAGATATTGTATTCTTCACTCCTTTGCGATGAAAGCTCAACTTCATGGGACTGTCCATCGAGAAACTGTGGACTTTGTAGACGAGACGGGTTTGCAGAACCATAGAATTCAGAATGGTCACTGTTCTCGGGATCATCCTCAATATTATCACGATCCCGACGTTGCTTGCTGCGAGGAGGAATTCCAGGAGGATAAGATGCTTCCCCGAAGAGCCTGTCTGGGAGCTCATCATCCTCAATCATTGTCTCAAGGTGGTGCGGTTCATCTCTGGCAAGGCCAACGACTGGACCAATGACTGGTGAAAGCGCCAAACTAGAGAAAAATTTTGCGCTCCCACCTGCATGCTGTCCGCAAGGCGAGGACGGCAAGGATTGTGAACGAGAATGAGGCCAGGATTCATTTATACCGCCTCGCAGCGTAGCAGAGTGTGAGGGTGAGCCAGTAGACGTGGGTGAGACGATATCAGATCCCGAGAGGAAAAGGCTTCGAGGACGGAATGATCGTGCTTGGACAGCTATGGAGAGGTGGGTAGTAAATCCAGGGACCTCAATTTCGTCTACGTCATTTTCAGATTCTGGGATTGGTACATCAGCAGGATTAACCACCTCCTCCAGAGGGAGGGTCTTTTGGGAAGCTTCGCCAGCGGATGGCTCTTCAATTGTCCCGATGCTACTTGCTCTACTATTCCCTCTCAGCGGAACTAGACCCCGTCGTATCATCGACTCTCTCGAAAGCGTTCTCGAAAGTACAGGCGCTCTCACGTTCTTTCTCCATGTTCGCCAAAGCCGACCAAGGGTAGGATTCAGGGCCAGTTTCTCCATGTCCGTTTCCTCCACCACCAACATATCAGGTTCTGTCAATTCCGAATGTTCGTCCCGTTCCCTGATGGATCTCCCTGACGAAAGTCGAGTAGCAGCTGCTTCGCCAGCGATTATCAATGAGTGTTCACCAAGATACTCCAAAATTGATGTTAGAAATATGGCAGCAGCTGGTGTAATGTGCCCAACGTAGTTGGAAAAACGTGCCCGTCCAAAATCTGTTTCATTCAACCCTTCTCGGTGTAGATGCTCATCTTCATCCTCTTCCTCCATATCACCCAATCGTGTATAAACCATGCACCGTAGGCGGGTAAGTTTCCATGATCTCTCGAGCTCGAAGTGACCCGCAGGCTCACGACCTCCACGGAAATCGGACAGTTCCTCATCCTCTCCTCCACCCATATATTCACTTAGTTCGTCATCCGCTGCAGAAACCACTTCCTTTGCGAGTCTTGGTTTCAGCACTTCAGCTAGTGCTAGCCTGATCGCATTCAAATTCGTAGATTTAGCTGTCATAAGAATGTTGAAAAGAAGGTTGTCCAAAAAACGGTTAAGGAGGGTCAGGGACGCCGGAGAGAGGGAGGCACCAATGGTGCCTGCTGACGGATTTAAGCCATTCAGATTTTGGTCGGCGGAAACGATTTGAGCAGCAGATGTTGCAGCGATGAATTGGGGCTCTGGCTGAACAGGAGGCGGCGACCGCATGCTTTGTATTGGGGAGTAAACGTCGCCACACAGGCTCACACTGCGACCGTGACGGCCCGGGATTAAACCCAGCGAGTTGATGAATGGTTCGCACTGCATTGTGCCAGGAATCTCGTATCAACCTCACATGAACGCTAAGAGTGGGGGGGGGGGGGGGGGGGAATAAATAGTGAAGTGAAGCAGGAGAGTCGAAAGTCGAAGGGGGTTTGTTAGAAGCGAACCTGGACCAGGCTTATTGCAAGAGCCCGCAAGGGGCAAATCTTCAACAATCTCAAATCACAAAAAATTGAGAATCTGCAAAAGAGGCAAAATTTGTTAGTATGAAGAACTGAAGTATATATATATATATTTATATATATTGCCAGACAGCCCTTCTTTTTAGGTTTATTTTTCTCTTCTGTTTTAGGTGTCCTCCCCGTATCCCTAAGGATAGGATGCTAAAGTGGAGACAGCTAATGACGACAAGTGGGTTTGACAAAAACGCAGTCCAGTCAGATAGACGGACACAATAAGAGCACTGGGCGAACAAGCGACCTGCGATTGGAGATACGGACCTACTCGGAAGGAATTGGACTTGGAATTCAATGGGACAAGCAACTTTGGGGGGCGATGTTGACGGAGGCGAGGAGTGGAAGGGAGCGGCTAGAGAGGTGAAGAAACACGCCGTAACGCAATTAAATGAGGAGAATAATCGGCACCAAATGAAGCGGACAACAGGGCTTGTGAGGATAGTGAGCGCCGTCGAACGAGTCTAGCAGTCTAGTGGGAGAACTGGAAGAGGTTTGGAGTGACTGGACTCGTGGTGAATATGGTAGTTAATGGGACAGAGGCTGACGGACCATTAATTGGAGGTTGAAGCCTCTCAAAGGCGACACCAGGCCAAATGCTAGATCGCACGCTGGAACGGTGGGTGGCACTTGGGGCTGGGCGCAGAAGTCAGAAACTTCAGAGTTCAGGAGAAGTGGGGAGAATAGCGACTAGCAGCAGCAGCTAGCAGATTAGCGGGAGGTAGGACGTTGAAAGAAAAAGAGGGACGCAGAGCGAGAGCGAGAGATGCGCGGAGACTCCGATGAGAGACAGAGCGAGCTGGGGCGGTTGGACACTGGACGCCGGACGGAGGATAGTTACAAGACAGAAGAAAAGCCAGATCTCTGGTGCTTGCATACTCCGTATTCTCTCTCACCTTTACCCCTAAGGAGAATACAACCTGTCGAACAATGTCGGGATTGCAGAAAGCAGCCATCCAGCTAGAACAATTGCAGACAACTAACTGCCTATACCACAGCCATTATTATTAACTCCTATTAACTATTAATAATGACGATGACGATGATGTGATATTGTTGTTATTTTCCGACGGGATCTGAACTCACTCCCTGCCTGTTCCACATAACACATCGCCTAGTTATCCGTTGCAGTTAAAGCCTGTAAGACATAGGCCGATAAAAAGACTTATATATTTAAGCCACTACAGACAACACAATTGCCAACATGCCATGAACCAGAATACCCTGTGCCCGTTTGCCGGTTAGGCCCTTGTTGTCCGCTGCTAGGTTCTTTATCCAGCCCGTACGATTTCTGCAGAAACGCCAGATCTTGGTGTCTTCCATTTATGACAGGCCAAACTCTCATAATTACCGTGATATCTCGGCGCACCCATGTATATTGCCAATTGCCAAATCAGGGGCACAACCCGGTACGAGTCCATAATGCCAGAATTTGGCTCACAGTAAAGAATGAAAGAAAGAGAGAAAAGGAAGAAACAAACGGCGGGAAGCACGCAAAAATGAAAAAGAAGAGGCTTTCATCTCCCCGCATTGCGATATGCGAAAACGCCAATCAGCGAGCGGTACGTTGTGCCTGATCCGAACCAATCAATCAACAGAGTTTATAAAATGGTTCCAAAGGAAAACGCCAGAAAACAAGGGGAAAACGAAAAGCAAGAAGCAAAGAAAAGCAAAGAAAGAAAGAAATGGAACAGAGTTTAGTGCTAGACGGTGGCGGCTCCACTAGAATGTCTTTCGAATCGCCGTGGAAGGCAGAGAGCTCCGTATTCAAGTCCGCTAGAATCACAATCTCCAGTTTAGCTCTCTCTAGACCAGGGAGCCGTCTCTTCCAATATCTCCTCCGCTCCGATTTTATGTTCGATGCTAATTTTTTTTGGGGGGGCCCGCTGAAAAATGTAACTCTCTGGATGTAACAGAGTGAGAATCTCGACCGCACCAGACTGACAAATGAATGACAGTATATAATCCGAACCCCAACTGGAACTATATATCACCTGTCAATAATGTCTCATCCGTTTATTGAACGAATGAAACAAAACCCGGTGAACTCTCAACATCTTAATAAAATGAGCCAGTTCCACCACTGGAATCACAGCAACCGCCGAATTCCAGCTTTGCTAACCGTCTAATCAATGCAGCCGCAGTCACTTCAGCGTTGGCGTAACTTTGCCAACAAAAGCACTCACCGCACTTGATTGTTGCGCGCTTTTTGTTGGATGCGTCCTGCATAGATTGCTAATGTCAGTTACCTCTATTCAAACGGATCTTCTCTTGTTGGTTTTTCTCTCTTCTCTCCATCATTTTTTTTTTTTTAATTTTTTTTTTGTTTGTTTGGATATTTGCTCAGCAGAACAAACGGAGGATAAAATAATAGAAATCTCACCACTTACCGACTTACCACAAGCTAAACCTCTAGGAAATTAACCCGAAACTTCTTGCCAACCAGATATGTCTGGGACTGTGAGAACCAAAGAGAGTTAGACTGCCTATTCTGCAGGTCCCGTGTGCGCCACCTGAAAAGATTTCAGTATGACCAGGGATGTCCTTTTATGATTACTTGCAAATAAGATTGAACCCAGAATTTTGGCATCTGGTCAGCTTTTCGTATCTCCAAGCAGGAAAACTTTCCTCGCTAATCACTCGTCATAGCTTGAGGAGTTAGTTGCTAGGAACTCCCTCATCAGTGGCTCAGCAACTTGTGAACTTGGGAAAAACTTGAAAAGTTTCAACCTTCCAAATAATGGAAATGAGTACAGAGTATCGGTAGTTAATGAGGACCTACTTTGGCGGCGCATCAACCTTTCCAGTGGTAGAATGTCAGGGCTGAAAGGAAAGGTTTTTTGTCTGAAGGGGCGGCTTCCATATCTTTTGTTATAGTTCCAGCTTGAATCCTACCAACCTACAAACCGTAAAACGGTGGTGTGGCACAGGTGAACATAATCTTTCCGTCCATTTTAATGATAATCAGACTAAAATCCGATTGAACTTAAAATATCATTTCTATCATTCCTAGCCGCAATCGATCAATGAACATATATTCATGCTCCTCGCCAGGTTCATAGGAATCTCCATATAAAGAGTGCATCCTATCTTTTCGGAAGCGTCGCTGTTGTGGACTTCCCGGTTCTCGTTTCACTCTGAATTGACTACCGGATGGATACCATTTGGACCGACCGGCTCGGACATGATCCCCTGTTTTTAATTTTCTCACCCCTTGGGAGGATTAAAATCCGGTGTGCGGGATCTTAAATTATCCAAAATGAAAGGTTTATGATCCAGCAGCCCTGTGCTGGGGACTCTAGCTGATCGGCTGTTTCAGGGACATCCCGTCTGTGTCTCCCTTCATTTCATTTTTCCCGAAGGCAAATTTTTTTGTGGGTAGATGAAAGCATTATTGACATTCATATGAACAGCACACCAATAGGTTCTGTATATGGACACACCTACGTCCGTCAAATACATGGAGGGATCCATGTGACGCATCCGAATTTCTGGCCAGAGCGGTTGGGTGCTACGTAGCAGATGGACAAGAGCTGCTGCAGCTGCAGCTGCAGGAGATCAGGTTTCACATGTAACTCCTGATTGAGGGTTGAGAACCGACCAGACGTTGTTCCAAGCTTCATCAAAATATGCAATGAGATTAACTTAATTTCATGATACAGGGCATGACCTCGAATAATGGATGCAGAGTGGGAGTCACAAACGGTGATTCCCCGCCTCCTGCGTCTTGTTCATATAGACTGCACACGCTGCGGAAATTCAGGCGTTTTTCTATTTTATCCTCTGCAGAATCATACTAGTTGCAGAAGGTATCAGTCATTCGGGGACTTACAAAAGAAATCATCTTTTCACCAAACTGACTTCTCTGCAGAGCTCCCGAATCGATAAACCTGAAATGGAGAAAATGGATGCTCAAGTTGAGAGATAAATAATTACTCAGAGTTAGCGTGGAGAACTTCTTTCAACCCGAGCGACCAAACAAGGGGTGTTCGTGCATGGCTGACCGTCGTGGGTGTCAACACCAACCGCGGATCCCACTCCTTACGGACTCAATTATTCTGATCAATCACAAGGGAAATGTGGAGTCGAAAATGGAGGAGACTGGTGACAGGAGGTGCTAACATGACTGGCTAATGCTTCAGGATTGCGCTCAGAGACTCAACGTTTCTAAATTTCTGCTTTGATTCGGGGAATTTGAAGCGACTTTACTAGCCCATTCATTGTGGATAATACCCTCGTTTGCAGCAGAAAGAATACCATCTTGTGATTTGAAACCTGAGTTTTCGAATGGCAGTTTGGCAATGTTTAACTCAGGGCATCATCCTTGCTGCCAGGTTGAAGAATGGATTTCCTGGATGGCAACAAGAATAGTTGGTTTGGTTTCATTCTCATCCGGAAAGAAAGGGCCTGTTCGTGTGCCGGCTCCAAGCAACAATGAAAGAAATCAGCCATGTACGTTTTACGGTTTGATGTGAAAAGAGAAGCTTTTTGGGTGTGCTTGGTGTCTTTTAATGGCCTCCTTCTCCGGTTTTTGAAGAGTACCGGGATTTTTGGAGGATGGTATAAATTCAACCTTAGCATCATGAATGGTGCTCAGGATACCTGATATTCGTGGGGGGCAAGCCATCCGGGTGTGTGCTTTCAGAGTAGATTGCGAATGCTAAACGATTTGACAAGTATTTGAATTTGGATCATGCATTTCATATTTCAAACATGGAAGGCAATATGTCATATATGGACCGGTATTTTATATATCTCTCTCCAGGTTTACGAGCTCATGTCATTCGACGGGTTATGAATAAGCTAACTGGGAGCTTTAGGGGTCGAGAGTTCTGGATGACTCACCGAGTGATTACGCAGATCTCAAACTCCAGCAACTGAGGATGAAGGAAGAACAGGAAACCCCGGCTTTGCTTCCATGTTCTTCTCCAGCTACTTGATCGGAGAGAATGGAATTAGGAAGTCCAAAAGTGACTTTGCAGACTCTCGCCTTGACGGAAGCCGTCAGGGTAAGCTCAATTTGCTGAGCCAGACGCATCATCCAGTTGGCATTCCAACTTAAATTCTTTGGCGAAGGCGAGCGATTGGGCTTATATGTCTGCCTTGCACTCTTCGTGCATGTGCAGTGTAGCAATTTCGAAGTCTACCCAATTACCTCCGCATATTGGTTTAATTATGAACGATGCATCGATTTTGAAGCTCGCAGAAGAGTTCCGGCGGGCGTCACGAGGCAATCTGGCTTGTTGTAATGCCCTCGTTGTCCTATTTGTTTATTTATTATGCAGATGATAAGTGTGCTGTAAACACACATAAGCCAGAGGAGAGCATTATTTCATATGTGGTGCGACACCACATTAGCTCAGCTATAGCTAACTGATGTTAGTGAAACCATATCACACAAATCTGGGCTGCTATATCTTTGGTCCAATATACACCAGTCGCGACCTTACAGGGTTTGGTTAATATCAAATCTATAAATGGCAAATGCAAACAGCTTCAAATTTCCAATCACCACTGGAGGATACCCTATGATTGCAACCTCAATCAGAATCTATCAACAAGGGGGTATCAATAGCGATGGACATCAATGCACAAAACAAAGATGAAATGCAAAACACGATGACATGTTAATGTTCCTAGGCTGAATGGCATCCGTCAGAAGAGGATTTGGGAAGTTTACAACGCTTTTGGCCTTATCAATATCTCCGTAGGTTATGGAGCGTTAAAGGCTTCCATAATTGCCTCGAACAAATTGGCACGTTAGCTATCTACCGCGAAGGACAAGCAGTACTCACGAACGGTCCCATTAGGCGGCTAAATCACGATTTCAGTGGTCATGCTAAAAGAATACCCATTTTGTTTGCTGGCGCTTACCATCCGTCTCAACTGTTGGGCTTTAATCATTTCTTCTTGGTGGAATTCAAGGCACGATTCACAACCTCCTTGACTGCACGGCAAGGCTTGACTGAACTGTTTGCAATTTTCCATTTCTACGGTACTTACTAGCATCAGACAAACACTAACCATCCCGGTACAAAATTTAAGCCGTCAATACCAAATTCCTTCCATCTATCGTTAGACCTTGGTACACTTCTACGGCACAGAGAATTTCAGGATGAAGATCCCAAAGGAGTGTGATCTGTAATTCTATTGAAAGAATTCGTCATCGCTATGCGGCAAACATGCAACCGTTTTTCCGCAGAAAATGATTGCAGTACCAGGAATACAAATCACTGGAGAAAAAATCAAGCTGACGCGAAATTTCCGGAGCTTCAGGTGTTGTCGCTTCATTATTATCCCTAACATTTGATGGAACAAACCAGATATTCCCTTCCCATGTTAAATGGCCTTCCAGTTAGGTAAATGCACCCATTGGCTTCCGGCGAAGCGCCCGTATCTAGTGAGAAAGATCCGTATACTCCTTGCTCCTAGAACAATCAAATCCAGGACGACTTGTAACATGGAGAATTTATGGGACACCGGAACTTTGCTTTTCATTTTCACAAGGCCCCATATCCTCTTGGGCGTGTCCAACCTACAAAGGTAGACGGGAAATTCTGTGATATCTCGGTGTTGGTTAATGGGTTAGCCATGTAGATGGAGGTTACCCAGGAACCCGCTCCTGGAACTCGCTATATATGGTGCGGATAGCCATATGACACACCAGCATTTGTTATTTACAACTGAGCCATTTCGTGTTGGAATCCAGCATTTCTGAGTTGGGACGAGATACAGTTCTCAAACGAAGGGACTTTGAAGGCAATGCTCAATCCTTGTGCAACTGGTTGCACGCTATGAGTAGTTTATCCAAATCAAAGGTTAATTTATATTTATCCCTGCTCACTCACCTCTGCTGGTAACGCTTTGCTGGCAGGCATAAATCCAATAAAATGCCAATTGATAACTGCCACTAACCTCGGTTTGTTCAAAATAGAATGACTTGGGGGAATGTTTGGTGCCTCAGCACCTCTCTTTCTATCAAATTATCGACAGAAATTTAGGAGACTTTAGGGATAACATGTATGGATTATTCTAGAGGTAGAATATACGAAAATAGGGTTATCCTCCGGGTGAACATTGAATTTAGGGAACCCTCATCGATCTTAACTATTCGTTGGTTGCCGGGATCAACCAAACTTTGCAATATTTAGAGCCAACCCTTTAAAATATTGGTGTTCCTGTCAACGTCTCCTGTAGTTGCACTATCAACAGCTCAGAGACTATTTTATATCCTGGCAAACGTAGAACCAAATCTATACATCAGTCAATTTGATTCGTGGGGAAGAGCAAGATACGATGAAGCAGGATCATGTAGAGCAAACACAGCTTCAGAATCCTTGGGCTGAGCAAGAATCTGGTGACCGAAAACCGTTTTCTCTCCTTTCACGCCCCATATCACCAAAGCCTTTAAGTCGAGGCATTACTTTAAGCAAATGAGGTTATTCTTGGGGAATTGGCATTTGACGTAAATCCATCATATCCGCTGAAGTTTTACGCTGAACAATTTCAGCTACTCTGAGCAATATCACTCCAATAAGGAATGACAAGACCACAGCTTTGCCGACCTCTTTGCATGAAGTTAACAGTCGCGGCTAACGTTGGGAACCTAGGGTTCATGCTTGGGGGTCTAATGTTTAACAGTTCGTTTTTCTACCTCCAAATGTGCAAATACCCATTCCAACTTTTTGTTAGCTGTATAAAATGCAGCAACGCAGCAGAGTGTAGGTACAACTTCAAGCTGAGACTCAACTGACAGGAATCGGATTAATCGGTGCCCGGACCAAAACAGCTGACTACCGACTAGGAAGACACAGCAAGATAATGCACGGATTGTAAATAATGGAAACACATAAGGTGACATGGAAAAACCCCAGTTTTCCATGTGCGGCAGCATTAAGCATGCCTTCGTGACCGTGGGTCAAGGAGTATTGCGTACAGACTGGAACGAAGAAATTGGGAAAGCTACAAGGAGCCATAAAGAGTAGAGTTGGGACATGACATCTTGCTCCCTATGCTGTCACACCAATGATCAGGGCTTTGCTTGAAAAGTTTGGATGTCATTAAAAAAAATGAAATGGAGACCACAAAATCAAGGTCTTGGGATGTACCCCTGACAAAGGCAGCAATCGAGGAAATGAAAGAAAATTGAGGGGGAGTCCTAAATATATGGATCTGGGGCAGATGTGCACATGTCCATTCGCAGCTGCAGATATCCTGTCGAATTGTGCCACGAGTTCCTGAACTTCGAGTATCAACCATCTTTGACTGGGTGGCGTACCATCACAGACACTCCGGGTTACTATTCCATGCCCCTGCGTCAGTACTGAGTAAGTCCAAGCGATGTCGGCTTGTGGGAATTGACCGGTTTAATTCCCATGTGTCCGTCAAAGCGGTTTTGACTAGGTATTCCCATCACCAGCAAGTAACCTGGGGGCCAAAATCCATCATATGAATAATAAAGAATCGTGGTATCAGAAGCGTTTACCAAAAGAAAGAAAGAAAAAAGCTCCCACATGACTTGAATCAAGTCAAATTATGCACATAATTGTAGGACATTTTCATTCTGTCCCAGCTTCTCTGGCTGGCCAAACCGTTTGTTATGTAATCTCTCCCTTTGATTTCTCTTTTACCCCTCCCATCACCTTTATTGTTGTTCATGTCCCCGCTTTGGCAGATTATTCTGCATAGAACGTTGGAGCCTGGGATCCCCTCGTCATAACATGCATTGAGTTAGGAATAGAGTGCAGGTGGTCGTTAGTCGGATCACAGGAGAAAATCCGCAAAAGGCTTGCAGCCGCAGAGCGGAATTCATCGAACACCATTGAGATCCCTGCAACATCTTGAATTTCCCATGTGGCCTTGAAGTCAACCTTTGTTCTTTGACCATTGGTCAAAAACCCAGGCTCCCAAGTGAACCGTTGGTTCAGTCTCCGTATATAGAGAGACAGACAGGCATCTAGGTAGTTACTATAGTTAACTATCCTATAAGATGCGTCTTGTGTGTACGCCCAGAGATGAGCTCTGCGGTTTCGCTGTCTGGTAGAGTCAAGCTCCTTGTAATATTCCGATCACTAGGGAGGCATAACACTTGGAGATGTGACCTAGGTGAAGGCCTCAAACAGCTCTTGGACCCCGTGAAGTTGATTTTGGGTTTGGCTCTAGCACAACTTAGGGTTGGCTGAGTAATAACCTCAGGACCCCAACCCAACGACTTAACAGGGATAACTAATATATAATTAGGGGTGAGAGTAACCATTGAGGGAACTGGGAATACCCATTTTCCAGGGAGATTCGCGAGATCAAAATGTCTTCTATCCTAAAATCTTTTTAAATAATAAGGGCAATTTACTTTTTAATGGAGGATTACAGGGTTTACCTTATCACTGTAAGCGCAGAAGTTTGGGGTGAACCCGCTGATTCATTGAGAATTGCACATTAACAAATCCATTTACATACAGACGAAAGTTCCAACGAACAGGACAATTTTCGAACGGAAAAAAGACGCCATGATGGAAGAGAAAGCTGTATTAGAATGAAGGTCAGAGAAATCTTTCCGGACAGGGTAAAGCTCCCTAACTTTGTAATGTGAAAAAAATTCTTTGGTGTTTGTCTAGCCGGCGGATGTGGTTCCTAGCTTTTTCCCGTTTTCTCCTTTGAACACCATTGCAAGAAACTATGTAAAAGAAGGGAAGATAAATCCGAAAGTCCGCGGGGTAGTAAAAGATGGAGGAGAATGGAGCGCTGAGAGAGACAAAGGACGAAAAGAGTGAGAGATGGAATAGCAAGAAAATCAAGATAGGTCATTTCTGTAATCCTTTCCATCACAGCCTGCAATCCTACAGGTCGTAAAACAAAGCCTGGCGCCCCAGGGGTTCGATGAGCTCTCCGGCGACCCACTCAAGAATGTCACTCTCGGAGATGGCGGCAAAGGTGCCGGCAAGTTTAGTTGTCAAGTGCCGGGTAATTACCTGCTGGCAGTCACTCGAACTGGGTTTGTAAACGATACGGTTGTGATCGTCGAATGTAGTAACGTCCTCCGCAAAGAACAACAAGTTGTGATATTCCTCATCCGGAAGTAGATATTGAAAGAATCCGAGAAGCGACTCCACAACGCGGTCAAGATATTGGTTTACAAGGTCCGCGATGATAGGGAGAACATCGACTTCGCATGGACCCGCATTCAGGGTGCGAGAAAGAACGACGGATCGGTAGTCCTCGGCATTCATGTTACGGATACCATTAACGTAAG